ACTAAAATATGGTGACTGTCTTATTTGCTTGGTTATGAGTCTCAGGAATAATTAAATAATATAAGATTTTCACCTTGGAAGAGTAACCGTGTCTTGTTTATATCACCAATGCCTACTATAGACCTGGCAAATAATATAATAATGTATTCTAAACAATGTAAGGAATTACTTATTTCCTTAGCTTTTAGGATATTGATATTTCTGAAGTATATATGCCACTTGTTTTATGGGGTATTCTTCAATTTTTATTTTTCTTTTGTTTCTTCATAATCAGATTTAGATTCTGATTTTTTGGTTAGAATACTGTGTAAGTGACATTGTGACTTTTGCAGAATATCACACCTATTGGTACTTTGATGTTCATTAGCCACTTTTTGATGATGTTAATTTTGATCTCCTGGGTAAGGTGATTTTCTCCACTGTATAACTACTCTTTTCTTTTATAAGTAGAGAGCAATTGGGGATAGATACTTTGTGACTATGTAAACATATAGCTCCACATGAGACTTTCTCCACTTTGATTCAGTGTGTACTGATGATTCTTACTTGACTGAATTTCTTGTAACTTTTGATTTTGATATAATTTTAAACTTACAGAAAAGTTGCAATAATGATATAAGGAAGCCCGATATATTCTTTATCCCAATTTACCAATTGTTTACATTTATTTTATGTTTTTGATCTGTAAAATGGGCATAATAAGTGTTATCTGTCTCACAGGGGTGTTAGTTTTGTTTTTCTTCTGTTTTCATTGAAAAGAGAGGTTTTTAAATTGCTTTATGTATCTATAAGGTATTAGTTTTATAATACTAGTTATCCTTTCCATGTTTTCTCTTCATTTAAGCTTTCTGAGTACTGATTATTTTCTGTGAAACTTCTTGTGTGGGTGTTTGTATGCACAAACACTTATGAAGTCAGCAGTTTTATTTTTTTTTATTGCTCTGTCTTGTGACCATGGGACAAATATATCTCAATCACAAAATTTAATAGAAAAGGCTCTGGAAATTAAGAAAGCCAATCCATGATTGCTTTTATTCATGACTCTTTTAAAAATTACTTTCCTTGTGCATATGCTTGAATTTATTTCAATTCAATTCTACAGATAGATATAGAATGTGCCTACTGTATGCTGGCATTATTCTAAGTGCTCTGGATATAGCAATGATAAAAAGGACAAAAACCTTTATCCTCGAGAAGTTTAGAATTTTAGGTGGTAGTCAACAAACAAATAAATACTGTATATTTTATGATAGTCAACAAACAAATAAATACTGTATATTTTATGATAGATGGCAAAAAGCCCTAAGAAAATAAAGCAAGACAAGTAGTGACACAGTTTACTTATTAGTTTTCTGCTACCCAGCGACTGAGAATGCGGTTTATTAATTTATTGATCCTACTTCTCTGTCTTCTGGACATTTGTTATGTCAGTCATTCTTACTGTTAGTTGAGGCCAAAGAAACTCTAATCTAGAAGTTATTTACTTGGTTCGACTTAGGGAGTGAGTAGTACATGAGTCTTTCAAAACTGGATGCAATTATCCAAATTAGATGAACGTGTATACATCATTCTGAGATGAATTTCTATATTCTTCATTCAGTTATTCAATAGTCTGTGATCCAAAATATTTAAGTGATGACTCCAGTTTGTCCTTTCTTCTGGCCACTTGGCTAAGTAGTTTTGTGAATAAGTAACAAAGTCTTGATTAACATGAGGTTTGCAGGCTGGCCATTGTGTACCTATCTCTAGTTAGTAACTTTTAAAATTAGAGTTGTATATTTTTGTCATATGGCTTTTTAATAATTTTCTAAAATGAATATAATAAGTAGAACATTGTGAATATGTTTAAAATATATAATTTGGCTTATAGTTTTAAAATCAGAATACTTGATAAGTATAGTATCACACAGTACTTTTGTGATATATATTTTAAGTTGTATTTTCAAAAGATAATTTATAATACCAGCAAAGAAGGCTAACTCATAGCCATATTATAAATATACACATATCTAGTTGGGGAGAGAATATACAGATTGGACAGAACACTTAATTGGAGAAATTGGGAAAGGAGGCGCCACTACCTCAATATTTGACAATGTACCATTTAACCCTTTACAACTTAGTGAGGCAGGTTTTATTGTCTCCATTTTGCAGATGAGGGAACGGAGGCTCAAAGAGGTGAATGTGTAACTTGCTTAAGGTCAATTAGTATGGAACTTCACAGCCCACACTCAGCTGCCACTGAGCAAACCAAATGAAAGCTAGGGTAATGTTTACTCATTATAAAAAGGATTTCTGGATAAGCTCAGGTCTGCAGATAATATTGTATGTGTGACAAGTGGGAGGGGTGTGTGTGTGTGTGTGTGTGTGTGTATGTTTGTATATGTGAAGAACCAACCAAATGTTAGCTGTATAGGTTGCAATCCCGCCTCCTACCAAAGCCATATCTGAGTGGAAATACAGCTTTTTTCTTCCCCTTTCAGGCATTCATTTTCTTGTGAATACTTTTTCTTGAAAGTTTGTATATGTTATGTGATTGATCACTTGTTTGAGAAGAATCTTTAGGGTTGACTTTGTCAGAGGCTGTTGTAGGTCACAAAGATATAAACGTGAATAAGATTCCAGCCGTCTCCTAATGGAGATAACAGTCTACTCTGAGGAGATAGACATGTAGGCAAATTATTACAATACACTGATCTAAATGTTAATAGAGAAAGATGCAGAGTGTTCAGGGAACAGAGTAGCAGACTGCAGAGGGAAGGGAAAGGAGAAAAATCACAGAGGAGGTGACATTGGAGCCAAAGAATAGACATGTGAAACAGCATAGTGTGTTCTGGGAATCTTATTTGGTTTAGTGTGTCTAAATTACAGATAATTAGTAATGTGTTTTAGAACATAGGACTGGAAAAGTAGTTATGACATCCTGAGGGGTTTTGTATATTAGACTTAGAACTTGAATTTGGATTTTATTTTGTAGGTAGAAAGGAGCTATTGGAGAATTTTCAGAAGGGAAATGGGATGATGAGATGTGGTTCTATAGGGGGCAGGTAGCCCAGTTAGAAGACCATTGTTGTAGTCTGAGAATATGTGGATGATGAGATGAGTCATGAATTTTGGAAAATATTTGAAAAATGTTTGGAAGATACTATAGAACAAATTAGGTGACCAAAATGCCTTATATTTATAATACTGTATAGTTTCCCAAATCCTTTGAGTGTGCATGTTATTTGATATTATCAGTAACCCAGAAACATAGGTAGTTCAGATAGATTTATTTCCATTTTATATGAGGAAATTGAGAGCCAGGGTCACATAGCTAGTGATAGCTTAAGCATGAACCAAAGCATAGGCTTCAAATTTAGAGTTCTTTTTAATTTGTCTGCATCATCTCTATGCAGTGCCTAAGCCTACACTAGTTAATATCAGGGCCTGATCCCAGTAGGTTGTGTGTTTTAATTTATTCACTTAATATTTCTCTTCATTAGTTATGTTAAGTGCCTACTGTAGAGGGATAGAATCAATTAAATAAGGTAAATGCAACATCCTACAGATCCATGTGAATACCTAGAATATGCTTTTCAATTAAGACAACATGTATGCAAATGCTTTTTTATGTATGGGAATGGTTATGGTATTTATTCGTGTTTCATTGGAGGGTCTATTGCCTGTGACTTTTGATAATAGTGGCAGGCTGGTATCAGAGACTATGCTTACCATAATCAGTGTTTTTATCAGTATGTAAAGAATCCTTACTTAACGTGTACCATTAAATTGATTTTTTATTAGGTATTATAGAGATGTTATAGATTATATCTCTACAACATCTCCTTTTTTACCCATAACCTCTAAAAGGTTTAGTGCCAGAAAGAACAGAACTGTATCTTTATTTTCTCATCACATCCTCTCTCAAATAGATAATACTTTCATTGCTCTCTTTCCAACTTGGCTTTTAGTCACTGCTGTGATTCTAACTGTTGAACAGTCTTTCAAATTAAGTGATTAGTATTCTAGTCAAGGAAAAATTGTTGTGAGCCTGCCATTCTTACCCAGTATTGCTAAGGTAGTTTTACTAAATCTATTATTAGGGTCATGTTGTCAGAGGCATATGACAACTGCATTTCACAAAACTTCCCTAAATATTGATGCTTGAGATTTACAGGAAATTAAATCTAAAACCTTATACTTCTGATGCTGGAAGCACCAATAAACTGTCAAGTTCAGCATAAAGCCACATCTATGCTCCTTAATAATTTATAAGAAAAGTTAACTCTGCGTTAGTCTTCCTTTACTATTTTTGTCTTGATTAAAATTTTGCTGTTGTGTTAATTAATAAATTCAAAGGAAATGTTCTGATTAGTTTCTTTCATAACTGGGAATGATAGTAAGAGTAACTTGGAAAATATGATAGTCTGTTGGATAACATTTGCTGGGTAATAGATATCAATTCTCTGCCTACTTAAATTCATTGTATCTAAAGGTGTGAATGTCTTACTATCAGAATACTTTAGTTTCCCTCTAAATTAAAGAAAAAAAGCAAATCTTACCTGTATAGTACCTAATGTAAAGATTTTTGAAAGATAATGGGAATTCATTAAAATGCTTTTCACCTATTTATGCTGTTTACTGGTTGAAATTTGTAACTATTTAAAAATCATTAGTTTAAAAAATACTATTTAAAAATAGTAATTTACTATTTAATATTTTAAAATCATCGGCTCTTTTAGCATATTTCATTGCTTGGTATTAGAATTTTTTATTTTTAGAATAGAGTATATTTAAAGAAGACTTTTGTTGTTAAATTTGACAGGTGGGGCTTGAGGCCAATCTAATAAGTCCAAAGGGAGAATTCGCAGAATATGCAGGTTAAAGGAGCCCTGGAACTGACTTTCTCTGAAGCCCAGGCTATCCGTATACATTCCTGCTGAGTGGAGATTTGCTTAAAGTTGACTGTTTTCTTCCTTCCTTACCATCTGATTCCAATCTGCACCTGTCTTTTAAAGCTAGAGACGGTTGGATGGCAGCTTAACCTTCAGATGGCTCACTCTGCTCAAGCAAAACTAAAATCTCCTCAAGCTGTATTACAACTCGGAGTGAACAATGAAGATTCAAAGGTAAGAAATGACATGCCCTTAAAACAATTTATTTTGTTTGTTAGGACTTACCCTTTTTTCTTACTTACCCTTTTTATTCTTAGCAGTCTTTGCTCTCTGGATTTAAAATTTAAACATAGTTGAGTTAAACAATTATTAATAAATGTATCTTTTTTGACAGATACTGATGTCAGATTTAAATATCACTATTACTTACCTATCTCAAGAAATAGCTTATCTTGCAAGGTACCTTTCTTACAAAAATATTTCATAATGTCTTCTTTTAAATTCTATAGTAAAAAAAGTTGGTGAGGACCATACAGAATTACAATTTTAATGTTTTAGGTATTTGTGGGTATTGCTGAGTGTTTCATGTTTGAAGCTGAATATATGTAGTAGAGCAAATATTGTTTGTGGTCCTTAATTGTATTTTTATTTTGTGTGCGTGTGTAGTATGCCTGCATGTATTTAAGTCCCAGCTTTTGAGAAATAGATTTTTTACACCACATGGTGCTTTTTACTTTATTATTAATTTCAAAACAACTTGAACATGATTATTAAAGATCAAAGCATTGCTATAAAATAGTTTTTCATATGTGGCATATAGGGAAATATATCTTTCAGATATGACAAGAGCTTTTAATCATATTTTATATTGTAATTGATTATCTTTTAAGATAGAAGAGAAGGAGTGACTTTTTCCTCCTAAGTAGATAAGGCTATCTCATCTTAAGACAAAATAAAATTGAGAGTGAGGTAGTAGGGAAGATCTGAGGAAGGAGATTACAGTGGCCGAATGTGATAATAGTGGAAGAGATGTTTCTAATAGGAATTGAAAGATGCAAATATTATTCCTTTTTTGTTAAAACTTTCATATATTAGCCACATTTCTGGCGTCTTTAACAAGTGCCTAGCCCAGGTTATATTACTATAAAATTCTGTGCAATTGACTTGAGTCTTAGATAGAATTTATTAGTTTATTACAATCTTTCAAAAGTATCATTTTGTTTCACACATTTTCACTGGAAAGTAACATGAACTTAGTGGTTAGAGTCAAGCTGTTACACAGTATGTCTAGTGGTTTCCTGTTATCAGCAGTTTTACCTTCTGTAGTTTCAGTTACCTGGGGTCAACTGCCGTTTGAAATAGTGAGTACAGTACAGTAAGATGAGAGAAAGAGACCATGTTCACATAACTTTATTACACTATGTTGTTGTTGTTGTTCTATTTTATTATGACTGTTGTTAATCTCTTATAGTGCCTTATTTATAAATTTAACTTTATCATAGGTTTGTATATATGGGAAAAAACAGCATATATAGGGTTCAGTACTATTCATGGTTTTAGGCCTCTACTGGGAGTGTTGGAATGTATCCCCACAGGGGAGGTGGGGGGACTACTGTGTGCTCTGCAGTTTAGTGTAGTGTAACCTTGGGCAAATTACTTAATCCTTGATTCTCAGTTTCTTTATCTGTAAAATATAGGTAATAGTATCCATCCACACAATTTTTATGAAGACTGAATACCTAGTATATGTAAAGTGTTTAGTCCAGTGCCTAGTATTACAGCATGTGCTACATAAATGCTGGCTATCATCAACATCAATAAAACTTTTTATTTTTTGCTAAAATAAATCCATTTGTTTTAATTCAAAGTTCTCGGTTTATTTCCTAATGAAATTATTATGTCTTCCCTCATTCCTTGCATTCCCTCCCCCTTTTTTCTTGATTATATTTTTCATATGTATGCTTACAGGAAATAAGGGAGAGGAAAAAGAGCTTGGAAAGTCTCTTTTTTTTTTCTTCCATGAACTGAGTAAGGTATTCCTTTAGGTATAGGATAATGATCTGGAACTCAGTAGGGTATACTGGAATGAAAATACATACATACATGCACATTCCAAGTAGCTGTATACTTCCTTTGTTTTGTTTTTCATCACTACCTAATGTTAAGTCTGTGTAGCTAAAAGCATTTTATACTTTGGAAGTATACTATTTTGACCACATATCTTGGATATGCTTTAAGCATCATGACTTCTGCAACGCTTGACTTTGGAAGCATTTCCAAAGTCCTTTCCCAAGTCCTTCTAGCATCTTTCTTATATCTTCAAAGTATGCCTATGTGTCTGTTATATTTTTAGGCTGTAGGAATAAAAGAATAATGCTTCAAGTAAGACTGCCATGTAAATAAGACATTCAGATTATTCAGGAAAGATGTGAATATCTAGATGTGAAATCTGATTCATTTGAAATATGAGCTTGAGTACATTTGTATTTTTCTATGTGTTCGTATTTTGAAAATTTGAATAGATGTATATATGCACATTGATTAACCTTATAACTTGCAGAGCTAGAGCACCATTTTAATTAACAAATACACTGAGGAAGAAGAGCAGAAGCACACATACATAAAGGATACTTTCCTTTCATTAAGTGACTTCTTTTTATTGCCTTTCTCTTTTATAGCATTGTACACATTTAGTGCCTGTGTGTCGTATCTCCTAAACAATAGACACATAATGAAGTATAGAGCTACCACCACCTGGGCAAAAACATACCATCTCCAAGTGATATGGTGTGCCCTAGCTGTAAAGGAACAGTTAACTACTATACCTGTTTTCCTTAACGAACTGCTGCCTGGATTTATTGCTCTTTCCTTTGTTTATCATCTTGTTTTTTTAATTTATATATATTTTATTGCGTTTTAGGTTTTGGGGTGCATGTCAAGAATATGCAAGATTGTTGCATAGGTACATATATGACAAGGTGGTTTGCTGCCTTCCTCCCCACCACCTGTATCTGGCATTTCTCCCCATGTTATCCCTCCCCAACTCCCTACCCACCGCTCTCCCTCCCCTGGTTTCCCCCGGCAGACCCTAGTGTGCGATGCTCCCCTCCCTGTGTCCATGTGTTCTCATTGTTCAACACCCGCCTATGAGTGAGAACATGCGGTGTTTGATTTTCTGTTCTTGTGTCAGTTTGCTGAGAATGATGTTTATCTTCTTGTTTTTATGACTTGGCATCCTGTTCATTGTTCTCTTCATCTTATTCCTTATGTTGATTTTTATGTAACTGCTGTTATTAAGGACCATAAACTACTTTTCTCTCAAATATTTACTTTGTTCTGAGATGAGAATTCTTCACAGGTTGGAATATTAAGTAAAAAGAATGAGGGTATAGAGCATGTTTTAGAAAACAAGTTTATTAAAGGAAAGGAGAGCTTTTATAAAAAGAAAGATTAAAAGGGATTAGTGCTTAGTTTATGATATAAAGTATCTTAAAGTAGAAAACTGTCATACTTATGAAATTAGTGTTTGTATAAAACAGGAAGCATTGGGTACAGTTCTCATATATGTGTATTTTACAGGGTTGTTATCCTGAAAATATACATATATTAAACAACTGTGAGGATTAGAGTCACTAGATTGTGAGGGAGTGTTTTGGTGGTGTTTACTTTTGAGCTGTTGAACTGAAAACTTACTGTAATTCACTGAAGAGTGTGGTTTATAAGGAGCTCCTTTTCTTCTTTTTCACTTCCAACATACACATGAAAAATGTAGCCTGCAGTGAATTTGTAATTGCTATCACACTGGATAACACTGTGTGACTGTGGTCTTCTTTCTTAGAACATTTCTGTCTCAAGCCTTTCCTGTTTTTCTACTAATTTTATCACAAAAAACTGGGTGATTGTAGCTTTCCTGCAGTATTTTGATATTCATTCTAGTTGTTTTTGGTTAATTGTCTTAGTGTTTGTCTACTGTGTTGAACAAAGTGAGATTATTTTCCTGTTCACAGATAATCTCGAAAAGTTTTCCAAATTATTTTTAAAGTTTATTTCATTAGGGGGCAGTAGAGTGCTTTGCCTGTCTAACCTTTTCTGGCCTTCACAGTGTTATTTGAAATAACACTGGCATAATTTGTGAAGTCAGTAGTTCAAGGAAATGCTAAGTGTTTACATTTCTAATCTGTATAGAACAATAGAGTTCTCTTATTTCCATAAACAAAGTTAATGCTTATTAATCACATATGTATAGAACAAATAAATGAAATCATCATGATTTGGCTTTTTAAATTTGTATATGATCATTTGCCAAAATAAAATATATTAAAAGCTTTTACATTATTGACTTTTTTGTTACATTCTGTCACTTGTATTAATTTCTTTCTGAGAAAAAAGAAAATAGTCCATGGCTCTATTAGTTTGTGATGTATCTAGTTCTAGGCCAATTGTAGTCAGATGAAAGTTCTTTGTGTAGAGAGCAATGATGTCATTTGTAACAAATGATATTTTGACTGACACCAGCACTTGAACTTTGAATATCTTAAAATACTTAAAATTTTCTCTTAACTTTAGTACATTTTTCCCCCAGTAAATTTACTGTTGAAGACAAACCTATTTTATTAATACAGGGATTCCACGTTTTATTTGTGTATCTTATGAGAAAGGATCCTTATGTTTCTTTTTTTTTCTTTTGTAACAACTGAGGTAAAATGACCTTGACAGTAGAATTTTATTTATCTCACTGTTAAATTAGATAAACAGGTTGCAGTAAGTACTTTATATAGAGGTAATTACGATTTTGAATGAATTTGGGACTCTTAATACCAGTTTTCTTACTAAGAGTTCTTCATTCTTATTTCCAAAATACATGACATATTTTGTTTAGTGTGAAAAATTGGGCAAAAGTCCTTTTTTTAAAGTGTTTACTCTGTGTTACACATGGTATCACCTCCTTTTATATTTAAAACATTTCTTCCAGGCATGATTTCTTATTCATATTTTATTGATAAATGGACAAATGGAAGCACAGAGAAGTTAAATAATATTCCCATGTTTTACAGCTAGTAAACAGTAGAACTAGGATTTGAATCCAGGCAATTTCATTTGAGTTCTAGTTCATCAGTAGGATGCTATATCATTTTGTTTATGTAATAATTTAGCTGCTGATCTTGTAATGTGTATATATGTTTCAAGGTGTTGAAAGCTATTCTAAAATGTAATGTTGCTGTTTTCTTCATAGG